TTGGGTAAAGATGAGGTTTTACCATGTCGGCCAGGCTGTTCTTGAACTCCTGGCCTCAGGCAATCCTCCCACTTCAGCCTCCCAAAGTGCTGGGATTATAGGCGTGAGCCATTGCACCCAGACCCCAGGATCTATTGATTTTTCTCTTCTTGATAATGTTTATATCTGTTTTCTTTCCATCCTTGTTTCTGAGCCACCTCCTCAGCCCACTCTTCCTATTATAGTATCTCAGTTCTGACCTTCATCACTTCCTACCTGAATCCAATACAATAACGTCCTGCTACAGAATGAAGTTTGCAAAACACAAATCCTTTCTGTTTATTTCTTTGTTTAAAACCTTCCCTTGGAACTCTTTCTCTTGTAATTAAATCTTAATACTGCATATAAAACATTTTAGGATCTGACTGTTACCTATTTCTCAAGCCTTATTTTTGGCCATTTGTCCTATCGTACAGAATCCCGTTAATCTGTGTCTGCTCACATCTCCATTTCTTTGTATACATAGTTTCCCCTGCCTTGAACATCCTTCCCTTGTTCACCTGGCAAACTAACATTTTCCTTCCAAGTTCAGCTCAGCTATTATTACTTCCTCCAGGAAGCTCTCCTTGATGTATCTCTCTCCCATTTTCCTCCTTGTCCACTCCTTCAGTTGTTTATCCCAAGCACTCTATTAGCCTCCTCCTTCCCTGAGACTTTCTCTGTCATATCATTATTATATCATATTATTTTTGTCTATTTAATTTATTATCACTCCTTTTTAGAGATTATTTTCAGATCTCCTAGCTTGCCACATAGGTATGGTATGTTTTTCATAAATGTTTGTTGAATAAATGAATGAATGGCTCCTAGAGAGTTCATTTCTGCTATCCTCAGAACATTCTCTTACAGTAGCTAGTTTTGATTTGTCAGAGAATTTAGAATGTTATGTGTGATTGTACAATTGTTATGTATAGTTGTGGAATATAATATGGCAAACTAAAATATTTGAGAAATGTTTTATCATGCCTACTTAAATATTCTAAGTTTAAATATTATAAAGACCTCATGAGGCTAGGTGTGGTGGCTCATGCCTTCATTCCAGCATTTTGGGAGGCTGAGGCAGAAGGACTGCCTGAGTCCAGGAGGTTGAGGCTACACTGAGCTGTGATCACACCACTGCACTCTAGCCTGGGCAACAGAGTGAGACCCTACCTTAAAAAAAAATTAGCCTGGTGGTGCACACTTATAGTCCTAACTACTTGGGAGGGTGAGGTAGGAGAATCCCTCAAGCCCAGGAGTTGGAGGCTGAAGTGAGCTATGACTGTGCAACTGGACTCCAGCCTGGGTGAGAGTGAGACTCCATCTAAAAAAAAAAAAGACCTTATTAAAACCATGTTTACTTTTATCAGTTTTTAAAAATAAAGTGTTTATTTTCTACATATGATGAAAATTAAGAAAGTTACCTTGTTTTCACCTTCCAGGAACTGATTCCTACAAGCAACAGCAATGTGGTTGTATCTCTCACACGCCTCTTTGAAGTACTGCTTTGTAATGTGGTAGAAGATGATCCTTTTAGCAGGCACATTCGTATTTGGATTATGGTTTGTTTTATACTTCATGTAGTTTTTAATTACAGAATAAATTATGCTTCTGGTACATGATATTTATATTGAGAAAGACATGACAAGATCCAAAGCTATTTTTTGGTGAGCATTGAAAGAATAGCTGGAGACACTAAAGTTGCCCTGACACCTGCTATTCTGATATTAACAAGCACTTTAAAGAAATTAAAATGTCAGAAGGAACTGAAACTACGGTCTCACTCGGTCACCCAGGTTGGAGTGCAGTGGTGTGATCTTGGCTCACTGCAACCTCTGCCGCATGGGTTCAAGCGACTCTCCTGCCTCAGCCTCCCGAGTACCTGGGATTACAGGCGCCTGCCACTGCACCTGGCTAATTTTTGTATTTTTAGTAGAGATGGGGTTTCACCATCATGGCCAGGCTGGTCTTGAACTCATGACCTCGTGATCCACCCACCTTGACCTCTCAAAGTACTGGGGTTATAGGAATGAGCCACCATGCCTGGCAACTATCCTATTTTTTTTGAAGGAGTATAATTTGATAAACACTTAATAAGGTGATTTAATACTAAACAAATTTGGGCTGGGCACAGTGGCTCTCACCTGTAATCCCAGAACTTTGGGAGGCTGAGGCGGGTGGATCATGGGTTCAGGAGACCATCCTGGCCAACATGGTGAAACCTCATCCCTACTAAAATGCAAAAAATTAGCCAGGCATGGTGGCACATGCCTGTAGTCCCAGCTACTCAGGAGGCTGAGGCAGGGGAGTCTCTTGCACCCAGGAGGCAGAAGTTGCAGTGAGCCAGTACTATGCCGCTGTACTCCAGCCTGGCGACAGAGCAAGTCTCCATCTCAAAAAACAAGAAACAAAAACAAACTGTGTGTGTGTGTGTGTGTGTGTGTGTGTGTGTGTGTGTGTGTGTGGTAGAGATGAGGGTCTTACTATGTTGCCCAGGTTGATCTTGAACTCCTGATCTCAAGCAATCCTTCTACCTCAGCCTTTCAAAGCTCTGGGATTACAGGTGTGAACAACCACACTGGGCCAGTATGGTGTTTAAAATTTTGATAGATACTGGGCCAGACACGGTAGCTCAGGCCTATAATCCTAGCACTTTGGGAGGCTGAGGCAGGTGGATTGCTGAGTCTGGGAGTTCAAGACCAGCCTGGGCAGCATAGAAAAACCCCCTCTCTACTTAAAAAAACAAAACATTATCACATGAGTAAGTAGAAGACAAAACTGGAAAAAAGAAAAAAAAAATTAGGTTTTGTGGTATATGCCTGTAGTTTCAGCTACTCAGGACAAAGGCACAAGAATCACCTGAACTGGGAGTTGAGGTTGTAGTGAGTTGAGATTGTGCCACTGCACTCCAGCCTGGGCAACCAGAGCGAGATCCTGTTTAAAAAAAAAAAAAAAGACATGCATATATTTTGATAGAAATTGCCAGAGAAATGACTCTACATGGCTTAGCAGTGCGCCATTCCACTTCATTTACATTTATGACCTTGTTCAAGTAGGTTGAGCAGGTCCTAACATGTTGAATTTTTATTAAATTTCTCCTAAAATTTCTTTTAAAATAATTGCTATAAGTTAAAAATTTTCTCCACCAACAGGCTTGCTTTATATTCTCTTTGATTTGGTCTATTGGAGGAAGTTGTGATACAGATGGCCGTCATGTTTTTGATGCTTTTATACGATTAATCATACTGGGAAAAGATGAAGAAAACCCAGTGCCAGACTCTGTGGGTAAATGGGAATGCCCATTTGATGAAAAAGGCCTGGTCTATGACTACATGTATGAGGTATGACATGGAAAGCTTGGTATAGTTAAATAAAACCCAAAGCCTTGGATCAGCAGACAAAGCTCCTGCGTTTTCATCCTAGAGTCGTTTTGACTCCTGTGGTGAGCTTTCTAGTCTCCCTTCTTTTTAGTTTCACCTCCTATAACTTACTGGCTGTATAAATTTGCTTTAATAATATTTTTATAATTTTACATTTAAATTAAATTTTCCATTTTATTAAATAATTCCCCACAGCATTTTTTAAATAGCAAGTATTTGAATAATTATTTGATTCTTACAAATTTGCTTTCATACCCCATAAGATCTAGATAGAGCATTAGTCATCGTTTGACCTAAATCTCAAGTTTTGTGATAAGGAAGTAAACCTGAAAAGGTCAGTGGGAAGCAGAGCCAGGACTTGACTCCAGTTCTCCTAATAGTTCAGGACCCTTTCCCCAAAACTGCGCTGACACAGAATTTTCAGAATATGGCCAGAAAGAGAGTCTCATCCTCATTAGTCATAGCGGGAAGTCAATAAAGTAATCTCTAAAAGTGAAAAAGAGATAGTAGCACAAGCATATTCTTTTAGAATTGAAAATAAATATCAAACAATCCAGCTTAGAGAGGTAAAGGTCTCTAGGAAAGGGAAAGTGAGAGTAGGGAAATGCTGTTTTTCTTAATCTTATAAATCTTTCGACTGAAATATGTATATATTTAATGTTGATTTTAAAAAAGCTAAAACTTAAAAAATACAAATATGAATTACTAAAGAAACATTCACCCAAACTTGCAACATACCTCCATTCAAACATATAACATATATACATGTATAATTTGCTGCAAGATAGGAAAAGATTCAGAGGTTCCAGCCACAGCTCTGGAATAGGGTCCTAGACTCCCCCTACTTTGGCAGGTATTAAAACTTTTGTTAGTTAATAGTGGAAGGGCCGGGCACTGTGGCTCATGCCTGTAATTCCAGCACTTTGGGAGGCTGAGACGGGCAGATCACGAGGTCAGGAGATCGACACTATCCTGGCCAACATGGTGAAACCCTGTCTCTACTAAACACACACACACACACACACACACACACGCACAATTAGCCAGCCATGGTGGCACCCACCTGTAGTCCCAGCTACTTGGGAGGCTGAGGCAGGGAAATCACTTGAACCCGGGAGGCAAAGGTAGTAATGAGCCAAGATCGTGCTACCGTACTCCTGTCTGGTGACAGAGCAAGACTCCATCTCAAAAACATAAAAAATAAAACAGTGGAAGGGCTGGGGGTCTCCAGGGAGGGGTCACAACAATCTGGAGAAGAAGATAATGATTGGGGCTAGAGTGAAGATTGGGAGGCACTCAGGGGTGTCAGGACAGCAGCTATTTAGCCGGTGGTTCAGAAGAATTTCATATCGTAACCATCAATACAGCTATGCTGATATATATCCTGGTTGTTTCAGCCTGGATCAAAATGCTAAAGAAAATAATGTTAGAGAAACAAATGTAGTAGTTTTACTGATCTTTCATTTTTAGTTAGATTATTGTCCATTTATTTTAAAATAAAAAAGGTAAAGTCAAAATCCAGGAAATGATTACTTGAGGTACATTAGAGTAGCTTTTGAATAAATACTTGATGTATGCAAAAGAACATCTTGAGGGCATTTGGGGAATATTGAGTGTTAAGAAGACATCAAGGCAAAAATGTCTGAAATGTTAGATATTTTGAACATGTGATAACAAAAGTTTCATTGTGTTTTTCAGGTTATTAAAAAGGAAAATTTAAAAAGTATTTCTTAAATTGAGTGGTGTTTTCATGAATGCTTATTTTATTTTTCTGCTTTATGACTTAAAATATGTTAGATGTGTTCCTTTATATGATTGTAATATTTCATTAAAAGGGGGAAGACTAAAGTTTTTAAAAGCTAATATAAATGTTGAAAAGAGCCTTTCAGATATAACAAGTACATGGTTTTAGTATTTTAAAACTTATCTTTTCTTGTAGTTGAAAAACAGAGGTCGCTGGCTCCACTGGAATGAATTAATTAAAAATACTAATTTAGGAGATAAACAAACCAAGATTCAAGACATCATAGTCCCTACGATGGATACAATTAGATACACATTTCTAATGGATTTGAGTATTACCTATGCAAAGTAAGGAACTCTGCTATAAACAAGTATTTTGAAATGTAAAAGTACCATTTTAATAGGATTATGGCAATTTTTGAAGTATTTAAGATCATTCTTTTTCAGATAACTGAGATCCTGGGGGTCTAATTGACATGTTCAAAGTGACATCTGTTGCTATTGGCAAACCTGGAATGCACATTTTCCATTGCCCACTCCAAAGCCCTCGCCATCATACTTTGCTGCCTCATAAGTTGCCTAACATTTTTCTGATTTGTTAACAGCACACTAAAAGTCTGCTGCAGTGTCACTGTTAAAAAGATATGCATTGGGCTGAGCGTGGTGGCTCATGCCTGTAATTCCAGCACTTTGGTAGGCCAAGATGGGCAAATCACCTGAAGTCAGGAATTTGAGACCAGCCTGACCAATGTGGAGAAACCCCACCTCTACTAGAAATACAAAATTGCTGGGCGTGGTGCCACATGACTATAATCCCAGCCACTCAGGAGGCTGAGGGAGGAGAATGGCTTGAACCTGGGAGGCAAAGGTTGCAGTGAGGCGAGATTGCGCCATTGTACTCCAGCCAGGGCAACAAGAGCTAAACATGCCCTCTCCCCCTCTCCCCCTCTCCTCCTCTCCCCCTCTCCCCCTCTGCCCCTCTGCCCCTCTGCCCCTCTCCCTCCACACACACATAGTATGCATTCTACTGAAAGATTCAGTGTACTCCTGAGATGTCATTCTCCTATTACATTTGGCATTTTCACATATGTCTTATGCCAGTTGTGGATTCCATCACTTAAGATTAATATTAAAAACTCAGACTTAACTCAGAAGAGTCCATCAAAAAAAGACACATAAAACTAATCAAAAATATGTACTGTTTGCATATCCATACCAACTTTCTTACTAACATTTAATAGTTATTTTCCTTTCAAAACACTAGCCATAATTTATCATTCATATTATTTAAACTAGACAATATTATATTCATAAATGTCTTTTTTTGATAATCGGTTTCTAAATGCATTCTGTGAATAATTTTATCTCATTTAAAAGAAAAAACAAAAAATAGCTTATGAGGGAAAATTAGTTTACCCCTATTTTGTATCTGTAGTTGCATTTTTGCATTTAAAAGCTAAGCAAGGAAGACAGTTGCCAATTCTGGGACATTCCTAGTGTAGCAGTTCTTTTTTTTTTAAAAAATAGGGTCTCACTGTGTCTCCCAGTCTGGAGTATGGTGGCACAATCATGGCTCACTGCAGTCTTGATTCCCCAGGTTCCAGCGATCGTCCCGCATCAGCCTCCCACATAGCTGGGACTACAGGCACGCACCACTATGCCATATGGGTTTTTTTTGTTTTTTTTTTTTTTTGGTAGAGACAGGGTTGCCCAGACTGATCTCGAACTCCTGAGCTCAAGGAATCCACCTGCCTCAGCCTCCCAAAGTGCTGGAATTACACGTGTGAGCCACTGTGCCCGGCAATACAGTTCCTTTGTGTCAAGAACCATTTGGCAGAATAATAATTTTAAATAAATAAGTACAAATAGAATTATATAGTAAACTATATCTATATATAGATATAGATATAGATATATGCAAACCATACATATATATGTAATTATACATATATTATTTTTTCTTGAGACAGAGTTGTTCTCTGTCTCCCAGGCTGGAGTGCAGTGGTATGATCTCAGCTTACTGCAACCTCTGCCCCCTGGGTTCAAGCGATTCTCCTGCCTCAGCTTCCTGAGTATCTGGGATTACAGGCTCCTGCCACTACGATTGGCTAATTTTTTTGTATTTTTGGTGGAGAGGGGGTTTCACCACTTTGACCAGGCTGGTCTTGAACTCCTGGCCTCAAGTGATTCACCCACCTTGGCCTTTCAAAGTGTTAGAATTACAGACATGAGCCACCATGCCCAGCCAGTTTTTTTTCTATGTTGAAATACATTTATTAAAATATTGAACATATTTGGGCTATAGTAGTAATATATATGTTTCTTTACTAGCACATTAAATAACAAGATCTGTCAGTGGGTCTGATGACTATAATACCTTTGAAGAAGGAATGGGCATGAGAGATATTTTTGAGACACTGTAACAATTGCAATGTGTAGAATAATAGCAATGATTTCTACTGGTGACAAAGACATAGGTACTATTCATACAACTGCTACATTGGAGTCATCCCAGCTACTCAGGAGGCTGAGGCATAAGAATAGCTTGAACCTGGGAGGCGGAGGTCGCAGTGAGCCAAGATAGTGCCATTGCACTCCAGCCTGGGCAACAAGAGCAAAACTCCACCTCAAAAAAGAAAAAAAAATTGGAAACCTTGCTTGAAGCCTCACTGAATAGAGAATTCCTTAGAGTTTGCTTTTAGACAAATATTTTCAGTTAGTAATTCAATTGATTTTAAAATGCTGTTAACAGTATATATAACTGTTAGCTTTAGAATTCACTGTCATTCCATCTCTCACAAAACCTTTGGCTATTGAGATCACTGTGAAACAGACTACAGCTGTCTTATTGTCATCACCCTATTAGTCTGTTCCACATGCTGCCCCCATATCTGTACCCTAACTAAAAAGTATAAATACAGCTCTTTTCTGAGGAGGAGATAGACTTTGACTTCGTTTAAAAAAGTTAAGCATATTATTTTATAAGTGTTTTGTATATAGCAACATTATATTTATTCAAATAATAGTTTATTACTATGAAAGTATCTGCAAGGCCAGACACAGTGGCTCCTGTCTGTAATCCCAGTGCTTTGGAAGGCTGGGATGAGAGAATCACTTGAGGCCAAGAGTTTGAGACCAGCATGGGCAAAATAGCCAGGTCTTGTCTCTTCAAAACATTGAAAGTAAAAAAATTAGCTGGGTGTGGTGGCATGCCACCTGTAGTCCTAGCTACTTGGGAAGCTGAGACAGGAGGATCACTTGAGCCCAGGAGTTTGAGGCTGCAGTGAGCTATGATCGTGCCACTTCATTCCAGACTGGGTGGCAGAGTGAGACCTTATCTCAAAAAATAAAAATAGGTTGGGCATGGTGGCTCATGCCTGTAATCTCAGCACTTTGAGAGGCTTAGGCAGGTAGATCACTTGAGGTCAGGAGTTCGAGACCAGCCTGGTCAACATAGTGAAACCTGTCTCTACTAAAAATACAAAAAATAGCCAGGTATGGTGGTGCATGCCTGTAGTCCCAGCTACTAGGGAGGCTGAGGCAGGAGGATTGCTTGAACCTGGGAGGTGGAGGTTGCAGTGAGCCAGTATCATGCCACTGCACTCCAGCCTGGGCTGGACTCTGTCTCAAAAAAAGAATAAAAAATGATACAAAATAAAGTCCCTGCAACATTATGGAAAAATGTATGTCAATCATTACTTTTATCCATAGTTTATGAAAAAATAATTATGGGTAAAATATGAGTTTTTAATGAAGATGATTTGATTCTTATGTAAGCTTTTAACTACAGCCTCCTTTAGTAGAAATATATACTGACTTTTTTCCATTTTGAATAATATATTCATTGTTTTCATTAAGGCCACTGCTTTTTGTGGGTCCAACGGGTACAGGAAAGTCTGTGTATGTGAAGGACAAGCTAATGAATCACTTGGAAAAGGACCGGTACTTTCCTTTTTATGTTAACTTTTCTGCACGGACCAGTGCCAATCAGGTTCAGGTTAGTTTAAAGATACAAACGTGGGTCTATCATTATTAATTTCTTTGCCTTATTTGATCAGTGTTTAGATTTGTACATTAAATAAGCAACTGTATACATCTATAAATTTAAAACTTTCAAATGTTTGGGGAGTTACAAGTTTTGAAATTAATGACAAAAGTTTCAGAGAACATTTTTACATTAATAATGGGTTATTGAGCTTTATTACCTTTTTTTTAAAACTTGAAGCAACAATTGATTTCTTAACTGGTGAAGGAAGTATAAAAGACACACACACACACACACACACACACACACACACACACACACACACACACACACACACACACACGGTGGGGCAGGGATTAGGAGACCCAGGGATAAATGATGAGAGGACTTTGAATTGTTCTCTCAAGACTCCTGGATGGTCCTCAGGGGCATTTGCTGCTCACTGGACCTTTCAAACCATGGGCTATTGTGTGACCTGTGACAGGAACCACGTGAGTGCATCCTACCCTTTGGCTTCAAATGTGCCAAGGTGAAACTACTTCATGAAATCTTTTCTAATTGCCATTTTTATCATCCATTCCTAAATGTATGCCTATCCATTCTCTCCTGACCCCATTTCTATTGTTTTAAGTCTATATACTTCCCTGAACTTCAGAATCTTACAAATTTAGAACTTCTTTACTGTGGAGCTTTATTTGAATGAAAACAATAATTTTGGTTTATTTTTCCAATAGACAAGTTCCAAAAGTATTAGAGCTGTAAGAAAGCATCTACATTTATTTTGGCTATAAAAAGCTGCCAAATGTAAAGATTAATGCATTAAGTTAGTTTATAGATATGTTGTTGAATACAGATGAACACAAAGAAGGAAACAACAGTAATTGGGGCTATGGGAGAGTAGAAGTGGGGAAGAGGGTGAGGACTGAAAAACCTGCGTATTGGGTACTATGCTTATTACCTCAGCGATGAGATAATCCGTACACCAAACCCCCATAACACACAATTACCCATATAACCTGCATGTGTACTCCCTGAACCTGAAATAGAAGTTGGAAAAAAAAATTTATTCAGTGAAGAAATGAAAAAAAAAAAGATACGTTGGTTATCCAGTGAGGAAAGTATTGTAGAAATTTTGGTGACATTTGTAGAAATATTGTAGAAACATGCATATACTATACAAAGATACATAAATATGTGTGTAACAATTGTGAGTGCATAGAAGGATTTCAACAAATGTCTAAATGATGTTGATTGTGAAGTTTAGTGTCACCCTAAATATGAATAAATAAAAATACACATATAATGCTGCTTTGTATTATTTCCCTCAGAGAGTTAAACTTTTTTTTTTCTGGTGTTAAGTATAACATTTTATGTTAAGTTAATCATTGATAAATTCAGCAGATAGCAATTGTTACTGGTAAAAATTCCATGGATTCTGGCAAAATGGGTTGTTTTACTTGTTGATACTGATTTAACATAAGTATAATATAAATTCATAATTCAATTATAGGTAAATATACTACTCTTCCTTTATATTTTAGAACATTATCATGGCTAGATTGGATAAAAGACGCAAAGGAGTCTTTGGACCACCTATGGGAAAGAAGTGTATAATTTTTATAGATGATATGAATATGCCTGCATTGGAGAAATATGGAGCTCAGCCTCCTATTGAATTATTACGACAATTTTTTGACTGTGGACATTGGTAACTATTTCAAGTCTCAAGTTATGCTGAAGTTATAGCTCAGTTTTTCTTTTAGGTTTTCAAAGTAAAATATATTTTTCAAGCTATTTAGGGAAAAGAATGGTTGCTCAGGTTTTCCTATACAGGAAGGAAGGCTTTCTAATATCTTTCTAAAAGGCTATTTTAAATTAAGAGGAAGGTACAGGGATTTCCTGTATATTCCCTGCCCCAACACATGCATAACCTCCTCAGTCTCAACATCCCCACCAAATTGACACATTTGTTACAACTGATGAGCCTCCATTGATAAATTGCAATCACCCAAAGTCCATAGTTTACTTTAGGGTTTGCTTTATGTGTTGTACATGCTATGGGTTTGGAGAAATGTATATGACATGTATCCATCATTATAATATGCAGAGTATTTTCACTGCTGTAAAGATACTCTGTGTTCTGTCTTTTCATTCCTCCCCCAACTCCAGCCCCTTTGTAAGAGAGCCATTGATCTCTTACTCGCTCTATAGTTTAGCCATTTTCAGAATGTCAAATAGTTGGAATAATACAGTATGTAGCCATTTCAGTCTAGCTTCTTTCATTTAGTGATGTGCATTTGAGTTTCCTTCAAGTCTTCTCATGGCTTGATAGCTCATTTCTTTTTAGCACTAACTAACATTCCATTGTCTGGATATACTACAATTTACTAATTCATTAACCTACTGAAGGACATCTTGGTTGCTTCCATGTTTTTGGCAATTATGAATAAAGTTGCTCTAAACATTTGCATACAGGTTTTATGTGAACATAAGTTGTCAGCTTCTTTGAATAAATACCAAGGAACACAATTGCTGAACAATATGGTAAGAATATGTTTAGTTTTCTAAGAAACCACCAAATTATCTTCCAAAATAACCATACCATTTTGTATTCCCATCAGGAACGAATGAGAGTTAGTGTTGCTCCACATCTTCTCTGGCATTTGGCATTGTCAGTGTTCTAGATTTTGGCCATTCTAATAAGTATGTGGTGGTATTTCATTGTTTTAATTTGCATTTCCCTGATGACATGTGATAAGAAGCATCCTTTAATATGTTTATTTGCCCTCTGTGTATCTTACTTGGTGGGGTGTCAGTTAAGGTCTTTGGCCATTTTTAAATCGAGTTTTTTACTTATTGAGTTTTAAGAGTTCTTTGTATATTTTGGATGATAGTCCTTTATCAGATGTGTCATTTGCAATTATTTCTCCAAGTCAGGCCTGTCTTCGCATTCTCTTGACATTGTCTTTGGCAGAGCAGAAGTTGTTAATTTTAATGAAGTCCAGTTTTTCAACTAATCTGTTGGTGTTGTGTCTGGAAAAAGTCATTGCCATACCCCAGTTCAACTAGGTTTACTCGTATGCTATCTTCTAGGAGTTTTATAGTATTGCATTTATTATTTAGGCCTGTGATGCATTTTTAGTTAATTGTTGTGAAGGATGTAAATTGTGTATAGATAAATTTTTTGCATGTGGATGTCCAGTTGTTTAACAATATTTGTTTTCTGCTAAAAGACAGGGTCTTGCTATGTTGTCCAGGCTGTTCTCAAATGTTGGCTTCAAGCAGTCCTTCTGCCTCAGCCTCCTGGGTAGTTGGGATTACAGATGTGAGGCACTGTGACCAGCAACATTTGTTGAAAAGACTATCTTTGCTCCATAATGCTGCCTTTGCTCCTTTGTCAAAGATCAGTTGACTGTATTTATTGGGCCTATTTCTGGGCTCTCTATTCTGTTCCATTGACCTATTTGTCTCTTCTGCCAGTACCACATTGTCTTGACTACTGTAGTTTTATAGTAAGCCTTAAAGTTGGGTAGTGTCAGTCCTCTGACTTTGTTTTTCTCTTTCAATAGTGTTGATTAATCTGGGCCTTTGTCCTCTCCATATGAACTTTAGAATCAGTTTCTCAATATCCAAAAATAACTTGCTAGGATTTAGATTGGGATTGCATTGAATCTACCAGTCAAGTTTGGAAGAACTCTCATCTTCATAACATTGTTTTCACATCTGTGAACATGGAGTATCTTTCTTTATTTAGTACTTTGATTTAGTTCATCAGCGTTTTATAGTTTTCCTCATAAAGATCTTCTATATATTTTGTTAGATATATCCCTAAGTATTTCACTGTGAGTGGGTGCTAACGTAAATGGTATGGTACCTTTTTTTTTTTTTTTTTTTT